TCCATCTATCCATACACCAGTCCACTCATCCATCTATCCATACACCAGTCCACTCATCCATCTATCCATACACCAGTCCACTCATCCATCTATCCATACACCAGTCCACTCATCCATCTATCCATACACCAGTCCACTCATCCATCTATCCATACACCAGTCCACTCATCCATCTATCCATACACCAGTCCACTCATCCATCTATCCATACACCAGTCCACTCATCCATCTATCCATACACCAGTCCACTCATCCATCTATCCATACACCAGTCCACTCATCCATCTATCCATACACCAGTCCACTCAGTCATCCGTTCATCCATCCATACACCTGTCCACATCCATCCATTCATCCATACACCAGTCCACTCATCCATCCATACACCAGTCCACTCATCCATCCATACACCAGTCCACTCAACAGTCAACTCATCCATCCATACAACAGTCCACTCAGCCATCCATCCATACACCAGTCCACTCAGCCATCCATCCATACACCAGTCCACTCATCCATCCATCCATACACCAGTCCACTCTTCCATCCATCCATACACCAGTCCACTCATCCATCCATCCATACATCAGTCCACTCTTCCATCCACCCATACGCCAGTCCACTCTTCCATCCATGCATACACCAGTCCACTCTTCCATCCATCCATACACCAGTCCACTCTTCCATCCATCCATACACCAGTCCACTCATCCATCCATCCATACATCAGTCCACTCTTCCATCCACCCATACGCCAGTCCACTCTTCCATCCATGCATACACCAGTCCACTCTTCCATCCATGCATACACCAGTCCACTCTTCCATCCACCCATACGCCAGTCCACTCTTCCATCCATGCATACACCAGTCCACTCTTCCATCCATCCATACACCAGTCCACTCTTCCATCCACCCATACGCCAGTCCACTCTTCCATCCATGCATACACCAGTCCACTCTTCCATCCATCCATACACCAGTCCACTCTTCCATCCATCCATACACCAGTCCACTCATCCATCCATCCATACACCAGTCCACTCATCCATCTATCTATACACCAGTCCACTCAGCCATCCATCCATACACCAGTCCACTCATCCATCCATACACCAGTCCACTCATCCATCCATACACCAGTCCACTCATCCATCCATACATCAGTCCACTCATCCATCCATACACCAGTCCACTCATCCATCCATACACCAGTCCACTCATCCACCCATACACCAGTCCACTCATCCATCCATCCATACACCAGTCCACTCATCCATCCATACACCTGTCCACATCCATCCATTCATCCATACACCAGTCCACTCATCCATCCGTCCATCCATCCATACACCAGTCCACATCCATCCATCCATCCATACACCAGTCCACTCATCCATCCATACACCAGTCCACTCATCCATCCATCCATACACCAGTCCACATCCATCCATTCATCCATACACCAGTCACTCATCCATCCATACACCAGTCCACTCATCCATCTATCCATACACCAGTCCACTCAGTCATCCGTTCATCCATCCATACACCAGTCCACATCCATCCATTCATCCATACACCAGTCCACTCATCCATCCATACACCAGTCCACTCATCCATCCATCCATACACCAGTCCACATCCATCCATTCATCCATACACCAGTCCACTCATCCATCCATACACCAGTCCACTCATCCATCTATCCATACACCAGTCCACTCATCCATCCGTCCATCCATCCATACACCAGTCACATCCATCCATTCATCCATACACCAGTCCACTCATCCATCCATACACCAGTCCAATCATCCATCTATCCATACACCAGTCCACTCAGTCATCCGTTCATCCATCCATACACCTGTCCACTCATCCATCCGTCCATCCATCCATACACCAGTCCACATCCATCCATTCATCCATACACCAGTCCACTCATCCATCCATACACCAGTCCAATCATCCATCTATCCATACACCAGTCCACTCAGTCATCCGTTCATCCATCCATACACCTGTCCACTCATCCATTCGTCCATACATCCATACACCAGTCCACATCCATCCATTCATCCATACACCAGTATACTCATCCATCTATACACCAGTCCACTCATCCATCTATCCATACACCAGTACACTCATCCATCCATTCATCCATACACCAGTCCACTAAGTCATCCGTTCATCCATCCATACACCTGTCCACATCCATCCATACACCAGTCCACTCATCCATCTATCTATACACCAGTCCACTCATCCATCCGTACACTAGTCCACTCATCCATCTATCTATACACTAGTCCACTCAGCCATCCATACACCAGTCCACATCCATCCATACACCAGTCCACTCATCCATCCATACACCAGTCCACATCCATCCATTCATCCATACACCAGTCCACTTATCCATCCATACACCAGTCCACTCATCCATCTATCCATACACCAGTCCACTCAGCCATCCGTCCATCCATACACCAGTC